TAATCAAATTGACGTAAGTTTTATCCAAATCTGTTACTCCACGTAGTGCAATTTCTATCGTTCTGGAGAAATAAAAATGAAGCTCGACAATGTCTTTCTTAATTATTGAGTATCTTTCTATTTCTGTGATTTTAATAATCAAATCTATGAAAAACTCAACAAAGAGTGATGTAAAAAACACATAAGATTAGACTACGTTATTTTGTAAGAGTTAAGATTGAACATATCATTAGTTGAATTAATGTAGTTTTGTAAATATTAAAAATTTAATGGGATTGAACCCAAATGGTTCGATAATTAAATTTGGACCTGATGATTCCACTTACTAAATACCTGAAATTTTCGGATTCGATTCGAACCATATCCAGCCCTACCCTCCATCAAATCCGAACAGCCATATATTCTTCAACCAACAAAGGCAGCTGACCAGTTTATTGTAAAGCGTTCGTGTCTTCAAGTTTTACTTGTATAGGATACTCTAGATAAGATTGGGATTAAAACGATTCAATTATAGCGATTTTTTTTTTCAAGTTAAATCATTTTAAATGGTTTTGAATTTTTCTAAATCAAATTAAATCATTTCATTTTCCAAAGCGAATCAAACCCAACCATGTTTTATGGTTCAACTTGGTATTTTGATTTCAAACCATAATTTACCTAGCGACATAAAAATAATACTTTTCAGTCACATTAAAAAATAAATATTACACCGTAAAAGAAACATAAATATCACAAGCATTAAAACTTATAACTTTCATTAATGAAATAGAATATTAAGAAAACATGCATTCTTTACCATCCTTCACATGCTGATATGAGGAAAAATGAAGGCCGCTCGCATGTATATGTTTATATACTTAAATTGAAAAGCAGCTTATAAAGCGTACTCACATCGTATAAAATTTGTAACAATTAAATTTCCAATAACACTAGTCTTTTTTTATTATTATGCTAACCGTTTGGTTAGGTTTCAAATAAATTTTAAAATATTGAATTCTAAGTTGATCCATTCTTAAATAATTTGATTAAGTGAAAATCGAAAAGTTGACGGATTCATATAAATTCAAACCAAAATCTTGAAAATAATTACTTCGATTCAATTTTCTGATTCTTTTGTTCACCCTTAAACAAGATTGGTTGACCTTGATTATGTCTTAAAAGAAATAACTTGAATATGATCTCACGTGAACTACATTGCTAAATTAGTGCAAGCTCTAAGTCGTTTGTTGTGCCTTCATTTTGGAGTGTGACAAGGTCTTAAATCCACGAGGGAGAGGAGAATAGAGGAAATATTAACATTCATTTGATAAATTTATAAATGATTTATAAATAAGAATATTAAAATGAATAGTATTGTACATTACAAAATACATAGATAATAATAAATATTTAACATAGGATTTGAGATTGAAATTAACAATTGTAGTTTTGCTTGGTGTAAGAGCTGTTCACCCTTACAGTCCTCTCACAATGAAGGGATCCACAATTATTTTATTCATATGAATTCACGTGAATAAAATAATTTTGGATCCCTCAACATGTGAGGGATATGGTGAAGATATACCATGATATACAAGTGATTTTTTTCCGATTGTTATTGGTTAATGTGAAATTTGGTTTCAACTGTCGGTACATGAAAGTACAATAATAAACAACAAAGAAAAAGGAAAGGAAAGAAGATAAAATGAAGCATAAAAAATTAAAAAGTATATCTTAGCCACAAGTCCACGAGACAACGTATCTCACAACTAGGCCCTACATTGATTTTACATTGACCATTACAGTTGTACACATTAATCTAGACCTTGTTACAACTTTGGTTATCCATCAGACATTAAAGTGTTAACCTCCGTTTGGCCCCATTAATTTAACTTTTATATTTCCTCTCTCATCTTTAACCATCCATTCAAAAAAAATATATTATTTTACCCATTAAAATTTAAAATAATGGAGAAAAACGAGGACTTAATTTATAAAACATTTTGCTGAGTGAAAATTATAGAAATTCCTAGTATTAAAATCCTCTATTCTAAAATCAGATGAGAAGTTTCATATTTCAAAAATTAGATATATCATGTTTAAATATTAAATATTAATTATACAAATTTCATTTCAAAACCCTAATCAATTTATTTTCCTCCCTCTCCCTCTCTCTCTTCACAGCCTTTTTATCAGCGTCGCATCCACCCTCATATTTCGACACCTAAACCACCACTCATTCAACGATGATAGGCACAAAACTTCTCCTCCTCTCCATTCTTCTCTCTTCCTTTGTCTCTATTCTTCTCTTCCTCTCTCCGGTTTCGAATCCACCTCATCGACAGTGGTAAAGCGTAGTGGAGCAGCAGTACACACTGTAGACGATGCAATGAGGCTCGACGAGTTTTTCGCTGATTTTACCCGATCCACTTCGTTGCCTTGATCTTTTTTTTTTTTCAATCTATTGTGCGGAGATCGCAATGGTGGTGGCGAGCATGGGATGACATGTGAAATGCGATCTGGTGGTGGTTGTTGCAGATTGGACCCAAAGAAGAGAATGTGTGTTTGTAGTTGTTGGTGGCGACAGCAGTGGTGATGGTGCTTGTGTAGTAGCGGTGTTGTAGTGGTGACTGGCAGTGGCAGATCTAGAGGTAGAGGTCGGTGTGCAATATCGAGCGTTTGCAGCACTCATGTGCAGTGGTTTTGTGGTTTGTGTTTTTTCGTTGGTAGAGACTAATGAAGTGGCAAGAGATTTTGCATGGCCGTAACTGTGATGATCGTGGCAGTGGGTGTGATGGTGAAGGCGAGATATTGGTGGTCGTGATCTATCGAGGTAGATGTGTCGATTTGTTTGAGACATTGGTGTTGCTGTCTAGCGACGATGGTTCTGACAGTGATGGTGGCGGTGGTGCTGTTGGAGGTCGTGGTTGTTGCAAGTGTCAGTGATGGCTACAGATTATTTGGTTAATTGTGACCATTAAATTGGTTAATTTGCAATCGATCAATAAACAATGTGACAATAAAAAAGATAAATTTTGACCAAGATATAATGTGTGACTTAAAAAATTAATAATTTGTGACTACTAATAGAGTTGTGATCTATAATATTTGTGATCTATGACCCTAAATAAATTTGTGATCTGTGATCGATGAACAAATTGTAACCTACAAAATTTTTGAATCGTGATCGTAAAATAATTTGTAACATTAAATTTTTTTTATTTGTGATCGAAAAATAATACGTGGCTAATTAAATTGTAAATATGTGACCAAATTATATAAATCTATGACCTTAATATATTTAATTAATAAAATATATAATTAATTAAATTATAAACAAATTTTAATGAATATCTAATTTTTGAAATTTGAAACTTTTATTCTTACTTTTGAAATGGACAATAGTTATTCTTTTAGGGGGTGTTTGAGCCACATTATTTTGGTAATAATGCATTTTTGAATAGTGTATTGACGGGAAATATGTGGTTAAAAAAAAGGAAAAGTTTTTTATTTGCGTATAATATTATTTTATTGAAGAATGTGTGGTTGAAATGATGTCAAATTACTGTTTAAGAATGTATTTTTTTGGAATAATGTGGCTCAAACAGGCCCTTACTATTGAGCTCTTGTTTGAGCCCATTTTGAGAGGAAAAAAAGGAGAAATATTTTGAAATAGTGATTTATTTATTATTATTTATTTTTTTTGAGAATGTGTTGTTAAAATTTTTTAAAAAAATTTCAATTTACGTATAAATTTATTTTATTGGATAATGTGTGGTTGAAAATGAGTTTTTAAAAAAAAAAATTTTGGAAAAATGGTACTCAAACAAGGTACAAAAAATTTGCTTTACTCCTAGTCAATGTTTTCAAAAATCGAATGGGATTAGATCAGATCAAACCTTGTCAATTCGATTGAGACACAATCAGATTATGTGTGAAGAACCATAAAATTAGAAATACTTAAAAAATTATAAAATCGGATGGTTCAATTACAAATTTTGATTTTTATTTTGCTCCTAATATTCAGTATTACATGTTCGATTCTAATTCAACTCTCTGACTTCTGATCACTCACCTTAAATAAACCGTGTTATTTAGCTTCAATTATGTTAAGCACATATCTATTTAGATCATGTTTGAGCTCTATTCTCTAATTTTTTTTTTTCACTCATTTTCAATCGTACATTCTCCTGAAATATAATTTTGTACATAAATTTAAAAAAATTTCATACTTTTAATCATACATTTTTAAAAAAATGTAATATTACAAAATTTGTTTTCCACAAATAATGGGACTCAGTAAGTAGTTTAGCAGTGGTTCCAACACCACATGGATAGCTGCTTAACATCACTAAAGCTAAATTAATCTTGTCAAATTGATGATATTGTGTTCATTTGGCATGACTGTTAAAAAAATTTAAAAGTAACATTTGAAATTCAAAAGCTGTTTTTGGATCGATTTGACTAATTTTATAAAAGAGCTTTTAGGAAAAACTGATTCGATGTGATTTCTTCTAAAAGCACTTTAAAAATTGTAAACTCTTTTAACAATTAATTTTCAAACAAAAATTAAGGCTTCGTTTGATTATCATTTTTATCAAAATACTTTTTTCCCTATCTTCTTTTCAACCACACATTATTCATTAAAATAATATTATACAGAAGTCAAAAAATTTTCTTTATTTTTCATTCACACATTCTCTATTAATCTATTATTCTAAAATTCATTTTTCCATAAAAATGGGTATTAAACACCCTCTAAGATAATCTTATTGAGATTAACCGTATACAAGATATCTTCACAAATAAAGTTAATCTTATTGAGATTAACTGGATTAAACTTTTTAAAGTTTCATTGAGCGCCAATGTAGGCTTAAATCAAAGTTGGAATCTTTATCTTTATCTTTATCTTTTATGATGAGTAAGTTAAAAAATTTACCCCCCAAGTTTAGTTTTTCCGATTAATCGGCCAGAAAAAGAATGTTGGTCACAATTATAAATGGCGTCCCCATATCATTCACAAGGCAACACCCCCACGCGTGCACCGCCTACCGCCACTCATCAAACTTTAAATTTCTTATATATACATACTCCTTCCTCTCATTCCTCACACCATCAACTGTCAATTTTCTCCTCCTCCTCCTTTAATTAATAATTAAGCTTTATTGCTCAGAAAATATGACAGCAGCCGTATCCACAACTTCAATGCTCGAGTTTGAGTCAAACATGGATGTTGACAAGCTGACTTTGGAAATCTTCTCCATTCTTGAAAATAAGTTCCTTTTTGGGTATGAACGAGATCCCAAGTTGGTGACGCCATCACCCACCGTTAGAAATGTTCCTGCCGGAAAAATAAGAATCCTTAGCATTGACGCCGGTGGGTCTACTGATGGAGTCCTTGCAGCCAAGTCTTTGGTGCATTTGGAATCGGCCCTCCGTCGGAAAACGGGAAACCCGAATGCTTGTATTACAGATTTCTTTGACGTGGTCGCTGGATCCGGTGTAGGTGGCATCCTTGCAGGTCTACTGTCTACTCGCGGGAATGATGGTGAGCCCAAGTTCAGCACGGAGCAAGCTCTTAAATTTATTGTCGAGAATGGCCGTAAAATTTGTCAAAAACCGGCGGGAGTCTTCCAGCGCGTATTCGGTTCATCAAAGGCTGAGAAGGTGCTGAAGAAAGTTTTTGGGGAACTAACATTAAAGGACACATTAAAACCGGTTTTGATTCCGTGTCATGATCTCAGCACGGGCGCACCGGTTTTGTTTTCTCGTGCTGATGCTTTGGAAATGGACGGCTACGATTTCAAAATGGCTGGCATTTGTGGAGCCACAATTGCTAATAAAGCAGTGCATCTGAAGTCAATTGATGGTAGAAGAAAGATCGTGGCCGTCGGTGGTGGAGTGGCCATGAACAATCCAACTGCTGCTGCTATAACTCACGTTCTAAATAACAAGCAAGAATTTCCCTTCTGTAAAAGAGTTGAAGATTTGTTGGTTGTGTCATTAGGCAACGGCGAGTCAGATGCCGGAGTCAGGAGCACAATATCTTCGCCGGCCGCA